TATCTATCTATCTATCTATCTATCTATCATTTATCTATCAACAGAAGCTTGATAGAGATGTTCTTAAATTTAACGACAATTTTCAAAATTTACATGAGTTTTTCAATAATGAAACATGTTGTGAATGTGAAAAAAATGTTTCTAAACTGTTTTTCAATAATGAAACATGTTGTGAATGTGAAAAAAATGTTTCTAAACTCTCAGTAATACAGAGCAAGTTTCTATGAATGCTGCTAGGGGAAAGACTAGATTTTTTTCGTTCTTTTTCTATAGAAAATGGTGTTCTATAATTATTATATAGAGAAGAGACCATTGAATTTGCAATTAAATGTGAAAGAGAAAAAGTATTACAGGGTGAATTAAGCAGTTAATTAGTAAAAAAATTTTTTTTTATTACAAAAGCTAATAGTCCAAAGAAAAATAAGATTTCTGAGCCATGAAGTTCTTGAAGACTTGACACTGGCTTTTAGGAATTGGAAACTAGACCCCAGTATCCACTTGATAACTTAATGCATCTGCCAGTGGCTCAGTTTCAGCCTGTCAGCTTCCTGCTGGTACCATTCACCCGTTTGTTAAAACTGGAACATTTACCCATTTACCTCTCGTCTCCCAGCTGAAGGACAGGAACTTTCATGTTCCATGCCATCTTTATTATAGGTATTGTAATGTTATAGTCCAAACATGGATACTTTTACCTTAGAAAGAATTCATCCAATAGCGCCCCCAAATCCTAAATTATTAAGTCAAAATTACCAATTGCCATTTTAAGGTATAAATCTGCAAAATCAATTGATTGAATAAGTGAACAAAAACTGACTGTCTTTAAAAAATATATCTTATAATCTTTTACCAACATTTTAAAAAAAATTAATAGTTTATTAATTCTCATGATCTAGGGTTTATGTGAAAATATGAGTTATTCAGTCAGTATTTGTTGAGCAACAGCTATGTTGTAGGCACAAATCAGAAGTGTTTTCTAAAAAAAAAAAATAACTTTAGGCAGATGGACAAGTCACTGCTCTGAATGTGACTGAGATTCTCAGTTATAATTCAAACTCTGGGTTTCAAGAGTTTAACTAGATTTCCTAAAATCATCTCAAAATACTTAATTGAGAAAAGTCAACACTAATATTTAGTTAAAGTCATGTGTTAAAAACTATTAGGAAAACTCACAGAAGACTCTGTAGGG